AACCTTATAAAAACCCTCACCAGGGAGGACCTTGGGGCCAAGCAGCCCATGAGACAAAAGCAGTAGTTTTTTTTTTTTTTTTAAAAAGATTTATTTATTTATGCATACAAGACCTGGTGGTGCAAGGGGTTAAACATCAGCACAGTGAAGCTACTTGAAGCTATCCACAGCTACTGCAGCATGAGTTTGATCCCCACGGGCCAGGGAGCTACTCACATTGTAACAGGGTGGTCCCCAGGAAAGGGGGAGGTTCCAGATTTCCTGCTCCACCCAAAATGGAGGGTGGAGCTGAGCAGGGAGAGAAGAAGCTGCAGAGGAGACTGAGGAAGGAAGGAAGCAGGATGGAGCCAGAAGGAGACCTGGAGGAGGCGCATGGAGCCTAGAGATACGTGAAGAAACTGCGCTTGTCTTTTGGTCGTGGACTGGGTGACGCAGATGTGGGTGAGACCTGTGGAGAGGTGACAATAGCAGTTTGTTTTTTTTTTATCTCTCTCTTTTTTTTTTTAATAGAGGCATGTTTTTATTTATTCATTTGTTTGTTTGTTTATACATGCACTGGGTACAGTCAGAAGCGCGGGAGGGTGAGAGAATTCACCAGAGCCAGAGCAGGGAGCAGAGCAGGCAGAAGGACCGAAGTACACTGCTGAGGGGAGCAGCGGGCGGCAGGAGAGGTCTGCGCGCCATGTGGGACCCTCCTCTGGTGGCCGGGGAGCAGCCGGGGATCGAACCGGGGCCGCAGAGGCCGCGGGCAGCTTCGCAACCCAGCGCTCAACCGCTGCGCCACCGGGGAGGCCCCGACAATGGTAGTTTTTATCTTGATTTTGATTTTGCTCTTTTCCTTCTGGGCTTGTCTGGTTGTTTCTGACCCTTTTCTGTGGGTCCCCACTGGAAGATGCTTTAGACTTGTGGCAGGCTTTGGGGCCTTGCTCTGGGCCAATCCCATTTGGATGGAGTTTTACCCACGAGGGGATGGGTAAATTTGGGTGCTTGATTTAGAAACTAGATTCTTTGCTGTGGAACCAAGCATAAGTATTCTTAGCCATTGCTTTGTGTAACTGCCATTTTAGAATTTTAGGTTTTGCTGGGGAAAGACTGCATTCCAGAGATAGTTTCGACTCTCACTCCACCCTCACTCTCCGGTCACCAGTGAGGGCGAACTTGCTGTAATTGGAACTGCAGGTTGGAGCCTTATGTCGGCCTGGCCAGTCAGCTTAGAATGATAGCCGGGCAAAGTTGGAGAACGCATCCTTGTAGCCAATGAGTAACTGCCAGCATAATTTAACCTTATTAAAAGACCCCTGCTTCCTTTGTTTGGGGCTCTCGCTATCTGCCACTACGTTGGTAGGTGCCGTGAACCCGGACTCGAGTCTGAAATAAACTCCCTTTTGTGTTTGCATCAGCTGTCTTTGGATTCTTGGAGGCTATGCTCGCCGAGTCTCCTGATCTTGGGCACAACATTTGCCTTTCCTGTATTGTTTCTTAATTGTATTAAAGTTCCTTCCCATTAAAGTCTCATGTTTTGTGTTAATGCAGCGATATAGAATAGGCAGGTTTGGGGGTTTGGGCTGCCCCTTTCCCTGCTGCTGCTTCCCTCAGCAATGTATTTCAGTCAATCTGCCTGTTCTGTCCCCACTCTGTCTCTGGTGAATCCTCTCACCCTCCACCCCTAGCCTACACCCCAAATCTTGCATAAATAAATAAATCTTAAAAAAAATAAGAACTGAGGTGTAGGCCAGAGTTGCAGGGTGGGGTGGGGAGGAGGTGAGAGGATTCACCAGAGACAGAGTGGGGAGCAGAACAGGCAAATCTACTGAAATACACTGCTGAAGGGAGCAGTGGGCACGATAGGCAAGGTCTGCTGTGCTATGTGTGTGCCAGCTTCCTGGCTGGGGATGGAACTCATGTTGCAATGGGTGGAGATAGCTTGATAGAGCTTGCTTTGTCTTGAACCCTTGTGCCACCAGGGAGGCCCAAGGAGTAGTTCAATAGAGGGAAGTAACCAGTTGCTTAATGGAACTTAAAATGACTTGGTCATCCATTTACCAGGACTGTCAGTTAGGTGATTGTGGTTTCCTTTAGGGTCTGTTCTTTGCTATTGCCTCTCTCTCTTTAAAGATTTATTTATTTGTGCATAAAAGAACTAGAGGTGTGTGTGTGGGGGTGAGAGGATTCACCAGAGGTGGAGTAAGGAGCAGAACAGGCAGATCTGCTGAAATATACCTAGGGGAGCAGCTGCCAACTGGAAAGGTCTGTTGTGTGCCCGGGCCTGATGGAACTCAGGCCATTGTGGTAATGATGAGACTTAACCCCTAAGGCACCAGGGAGGACCCGTTGCCTCTCTTTAGACAATTTTTTAAATAGGCTTTTGCCCAGGTTTGTTTTCTTCAAAACAGATTGTGTTTTGAGATTTAATAAAATAAAGCATTGTACATTGATCATTTTGTTTGCACTTGTTAACAATCTTAAACAGTTGCATTGGCAATAGCAGCCCCTGGTGGCACAGGGATGATTTTTCTTTATTGTCACCTTGGTATTTTGGATCTTTCTGAATGTGCAGGTAGGCAGTGATATATCCAGATATCACGCATATTGAAATAAGAGTTAAACAATGATAGTGATGTGTAGTGTTTCCCCCTGCTTCTTAAAGAATACTCTTTAAGAATTTATTGTGAGGATTAGTTAGAACTGGAGTTACTGAGAGTGGTTTTCGGATTTGTTAGAACTGGGAGGGATGTAGAAAAATGGATAAGTTAACCCTTACACATTTTAGACTACATTTGGTATACAGTTGCAATTTTGGGTGAAAAGTATCTGAGACTTCTATCAATTCTGAAAGTATCTAATGTTATTAAAGCATTTAAAAAATCTATGTGTAAGTTGTAGTTTTTCTCAGTATTCCACATATGTTGAATACATATTTTCTTTAAATTTTTACATTGAAAGAACTTTGATTTTAGTACATACAACTTATCTTTTCATTAGATAACTTTATTACAGTAGTATTACATGTGCAATGTAGACATTTGGAAAAATCAGATAAGCAAAAAGAAGCAAATAAAAACCATCTTAAATTACTCAAACATGTACTTATAGCCATGTTGGGGAATAATCTTCCAGACCTTTTTTTTTTTTTTTTTAAAGATTTGTTTATTTATGCGTACAAGAACTGGGGTGTAGGCCAGAGATCAGGGTTGGGGAGGTGAGCAGATTCACCAGAGGCAGAGTAGGGAGCACAACAGGCAGATCTACTGAAATACACTGCTGAGGGGAGCAGTGGTGAAACAGAAGAGATCTGCTGTGCCATGTGAGTTAGCTCCCTGGCCGGGGATCCAACTTGTGCTGTGGTGGCTGGCGATAGCTTGACTGAGACTTTGACCCCTGTGCCATCAGGGAGGCCCCCATTATATCAATTTTTAAACAGATTTCTTCTTTCAAAATGTAAAATTCAGCCTGTTCTGCTCCCCACGCTGTCTCTGGTGAATCCTCTCACAACCTCCCATGCACCTCTGGCCTATACCCAGCTCTTGTATGCATAAATAAATAAAATAAATCTTTAAAAAAATGCCTTTTTTTTAAAAAAAATGTACAATTCAGTGGGTTTTAATATAGTCATGAAGTTGTGCAACCACAACCACTAACTACAATATTTCCATCAATCCCCAAAAAATCTAGTACCCATTAATCCTATTCTCCCTTTCCTCCAGGCCCTGGTAACCATTAATCTACTGCTTCCTGTTTCTATGGATTTGCCTATTCAGGACATTTAATATAAATGGGATGGTACAATATCTGAAATATTGTGTTTCATTTCACTTAGCATGTTTCTAAGTTTCGTTCATGTAACATATATCAATACCTCATTCCTTTTAATGAATGAATAATAGAATGTTTTTTTTGCAATTTTTATGGATAGGAAGTTATCTGCACATTTCATTTCAGGAGAGTAAAGTAGGTGTGTAACAGGGTGGTCCCCAGGAAAGGGGGAGGTTCCCTGCCCCACCCAAGGGAGGGTGGAGCTGAGCAGGAAGAGGAGAAGCTGCAGAAGAGACTGAGGAAGGAAGCAGCATGGAGCCAGGAGACCTGGAGGAGGCACATGGAGCCTAGAGACACGTGAAGAAACTGCGCTTGTCTTTGGGTCGTGGACTAGGTGACACAGATGTGGGTGAGACCCATGGGGAGGTGACAATGGCAGCTTTTATCTTGATGTTGATTTTGCTCTTTTCCTTCCGGGCTTGTCCAGTTGTTTGTGACCCTTTTCTGTGGGTCCCCACTGGAAGATGCTTTAGACTTGTAGCAGGCTTTGGGGCCTTGCTCTGGGCCAATCCCATTTGGATGGACTTTTACCCACGAGGGGACGGGTAACTTTGGGTGCTTCATTTAGAAACTAGACTCTTTGCCTTACCTGTATTGTTTCCTAGTTTTATTAAAGTTCCTTCCCATTAAAGTCTCCTATGTTTTGTGTTGATGCGGCGGATGGCAGAACCCATTTAGAATAGGCAGGTTTGCGGGGCTTGGGCTGACCCTCTCCCTGTCCTATAACACTCTCACCCCGCCCCCCCCCCCACTTCTGGCGTGTACCCCAGTTCTTGTATGCATCTATCAAGACAATTAACAATCCAGCAAACCGCGGATTGTTAAATTTTCTTGGACAAACTATGCATGGGTATGAATTAGGCAGAGATTAGATCTGAGTGGAAGATGCAGAAGTAAACTCCCACTCTTATAAGGATGCTACCCCATCCCAAACCATTTCCACCAAATGATCTTTACTTTGAGTGGGTCTAGGGTGATGAAGGAATTTGGCGGAAGCCAATTGCCTGGAACTGGATGGCTACTTCTATGGTGGCAACCTAAAGGAATGGGTTTTGCAATGCAAACCTGGGCGTTGCCAACCCCGATCCCTGATGGAATCCGCTCCCATTTTTCCTGCGCGCCTTTTTTCAAGCTGTTTAGGCCCATCTCGGCCGCCGTGGCCGGGCCACGCTCAGCTGTTGGGGGCGGAGCCTCGCTGACCATGGCGGGCGAGCTCGAGGGCTGCAAGTCTTTGAGCGGGCTGCTAAGCGGCTTGGCCCAGGACGCTTTCCACGGGCACGCGGGCATCACGGAGGAGCTGCTGAGGAGCCAGCTCTATCCGGAAGTTCCACTCGAGGAATTCCGACCCTTTCTGGCGAAGATGAGGGGGATTCTTAAGGTACCTCTCTTCCTGCATCCTCGCTGGAACCCAACACTTTCCTTGCACTTTCAGACTCCTGTCACTAGAAACTGAGGCCACTTTCCTAACACACACCTCTTTTCCAGGGGCTCCACATTCTGCTCCTTTAGATCTGGGGTGCTTGCTCGGCCGCCTCTTCCTTTCCCCCACCTTCTCACTTTCTTAAGGGTGACTCCTTCCTCTTAAGCTCCCGGTCCCCCTGTGTTGGTAACCGACCCTCATGGGAGAGGACCCGATTTTGTTCTCAAGACATTTCTCTGTTGTTATGTAGGTAACCGCTTGGATGTGTCTCGGTAGGTCTGCGTGTTCCGTACTTTCAAAATTAAAGTCAGATGCTTTCCGGGGTCATCAAAGTGGGGCGTGTTAAAAGTGAGCCATTGCATGTATGCCCGCGGATGCCGGTGGATTAGCCGGCGAGACCCTTGTCAAATATATCTTAAGTCAAAATATAGGCCACTCTGGCCCACAGAAATGTGGTGAGAACCAAACATAAAATTTCTAGTGCCACACTAAAAAAAAGGTGAAATTAATTCAATTTTAACCCAGTGTATGCAAAGTGTTATCTCCTAACATGTAATTAGTACACAAAGCATTAATTAGATATTTGATTTTTTTTTTTTACTGGATCTTTGAAATTTGATGTGTAATAACACCTATAGCACATATCAGTTTGGACTCGCCAAATTTCAAGTGCTCATTGATCACATGTGAATGGAGGCTACCATATCGAGCAACACTGGTTTAGACTAAGAAGTAGTTATAGGAATGAATCTAGTGCCAAAGTGTACTCTAGAGAGAGACTGTAAAACTAATGATCAATTTTGTGGTCTTCCTGTGTCAAAGGAATTCTACTAGATCTTTTATACTGTACTAATTTTTTTCTTTTAAGGATTTGTTTATACATACAAGAACTGGGGTTCAGGCCAGAGGTGTGTGGGGTGAGAGGATTCACCGGGACAGAGTGGGGAGCAGAACAGGCAGAAATACACTGCTAAGGGGAGCAGTGGGGTGAAACAGGAGAGGTCAGCTGCGCCATGTGGGTTAGCTTCGCCATGTGGGTGAAACAGGAGAGGTCAGCTGCGCCATGTAGCTCCCTGGCTGGGGATTGAACTCCCTGGCAATTGCATGATAGGATTGTGTCATTAATCCTTGCAACACCAGAGAGACCCTACATTGTACTAATTTTTTTTTCTTTTGCAAAAACTTTACATGGGGACATATAAGGAAATAGGCATAGGGAGTCTAAGCTGTTAGTTTGAAATCACTTTTTTCTAAAAAAAGATTTATTTATTTATGCATACAAAAGCTGGGGCACAGGCCAGAGATGTGGTGGGTGAGAGGATTCACCAGAGGCAGAATGGGGAACAGAACAGGTAGACCCACACAAATACACTGCTGAGGGGAGCAGCAGGTGAGACAGGAGAGTTCTGCTTCTCCATGTAGGTTTCTCTCTGGTGGGCCGGGGATCGAACTTGTGCTGCAGAGCCTGTGGATTGCTTCATAGTGCGGTACTTAACCCCTTGCGCCAACAGGGAGGCCCCTGAAATCACTTTAATTAAAGTCAATGTTGAAATTTCAACATTGCTCTTGTAGTGTTGGGAGGAAAATAGAATATTTGAGGGTATCTAGAAACACAGCCTCTACACAGCCAGTTGGTCTGAGGTTCCAAGGGAGAAAGAAAGGATTGAAACTGTGGCTCAAGATGACATCTAATTCCAGTCTTTATTTACCTTATAAGCAACTCTGAGGAGTAGTCATCTCTGAATTCTTATGGAATTATAAAAACCAAACATGATTTTTAAACATAAGTCCTTGAACTGAGAAAAGTCATCATCTGCAATAAAAGAGTATGGTGCAAGTGTGCTATAGTATTTGGAAACAGAGGTCTGAGAAAGCTGCAAAAAAGAGGTATTGTTTCTTTCTGGCAGGGGTCTTGGAAATGCCAATTTTTTGCTGCTCCTAGGGAAAGTTTAGATTGTTTTAGACTGAAGTGAGGGACATCCACATAGGTTAAAAAATTAGTGGGGGTGAGACAGGAGAATGTAGAGCAGGTTTGGTAAATGGTGAATAGTTGAATTTGACCATTGCTTGGCAGCACCCAATACAGAGTACTGGTGAAGGAGTCAAGAAAAAGTAAAACCTTTTATTTCTACTAATCTTTATTCCTGTTCCTTTTTTTTTAAAGAGATATTTATGCATACAAGAGCTGGGGTGCAGGCCAGAGATGCCTGGAGAGGGGGTGTTTGTGTGAGAGGATTCACCAGAGACAGAGTGGGGAGCAGAACAGGCAGATGTCCTGAAATACACTGCTGAGGGGAGCAGTGGGTGAGACGGGAGAGGAGAACACTGTGTGTCACCTCCCTGGTGGGGGATTGAACTCAGTGCTGCAGTGGCTGCTGATAGCTTAATAGTACTGCGCCACCCTTTGCGCCACCACGGAGGCCCTATTCCTGCTCTTAAATAGGGTCTCTTAAGATTTTTTTTTATTGTGGTAAAATATAGAAAGTATAAAATTTGTCATCTGAACCATTTAAACATGTACAGTTTAGTGGTATTTAACACATTCATAATGTTGTGTATTTGTCCTCACCACCATCCTTACCTAAAATCTTCATCTTATACAACTGAAACTCTACCCATTATACAGAAAGTCCCCATAACTTGCCTTGCCCCCACCCCCAAGCACCATCATTCTGTGTCTATGATTTGGACTACTTTAAGTATCTCATATAAGTAGATTCATAAAGTGTTTGTGGTTCTGTGACTGACTTATTTTACTCAGCATAATGTCTTCAAGGTTCATGCATATTGTTGTATAATTATATCAGAAATTCCTTCTTTTTTAAAGCTGAATGGTATCCCATTGTATGTATATGCCCCATTTGGCTTAACTGGTTATCTGTCATTGGACACTTGTTTTGTTTCCATGCTTTACGTATTGTGAATTATGTTGCTATCAGCATGAATATACAGATACCTCTTTGATATCCTGCTTTTAGTTCTTTGTGGAATTACTGGATAATTTTTACTTTTTTCCTGCTATTTTTACTTTTTTCAACAATGTTTTTAATTTTTTGAGGAACCATCATACTGTTTTCCACTAGTATTCTTACTAACTGTGCATAGTGTTTCAACTTCTTCACATTCTAGTCAATCCTTGTTATTTTCTGTGTTCTTTAGTTACCATTCTAATGAGTATAAGGTGGACAGGAGCATTTTTACATATAGATGAGAATAGAGGTCAAAAAGGTTTTTTCATTTATCTTTGTGGAGTCTCACAGTCTTTAATTCAACATGCAGTTTAGAAGAAAAGCAGTGAGGAAAGTACTAAAGAAAAAAAATGCAGCATTCTAAGGGCCTCCCTAGTGATGCAAGGGGTTAAGACGAAGCACTATGAAGCTAGCCGGCAGCCACTGCATCAGGAGTTTGATCCCTGGCCAGGGAGGTGACCCATGTGGTGCAGCAGACCTCTCCTGACTTGCCCGCTGCTCCCCTCAGCAGTGTGTTTCAGTCAGTCTGCCTGTTCTGTTCCCTACTCTGTCTCTGGTGGATCCTCTCACCACCCCTGCGCTCCCTGCACCCCTGGACTGTACCCTAGTTCTTGTATGTATAAATAAATAAATCTTAAAAAACATCTAGTTCTATGAGGAAAGTGAAAATGAAGAGGTATAGTGGGCAGGAGGAATAGGAAGGGGTGTGTAACTTCCAGCAGGGATTAGGCACTGGTACACATATTAACAGGCTCCTTATTGCTAGCTGTGTGCATTCATTCACAGCCTGTGTTTCAGGTTCAGGTGCTCTCTTAAGCTGTAACCTTTCCCTGTAACCTTCACACTGTTTGCCTAGGTGTGATGTACTGACAGCTGGCATTTGTACTGGTCCTTGTTTTCCACTTGGAATGAAACTCTACAACCCTGCTTGGTTGGAGCTTTTTTAGGTTTTTTTTTTAAAATTTTAATTTTTTTTTAAACAATATTTACTTCCCCCCGCCCCCTCAGGTTGAGTGTCCATAGATTTTCCTTCCCCAAGGCACCTGTGCACCATCACCACAGTCTCCTGCTCTCCTCCCTCCCTTCCTCTGATCCTTCTCCCTCCTCCTCCTCTGCAATATGTCTCTGATTTGTAATTGTCTGTGTTTGCTTTGTTGTGTTTTGTACTGTTACTTTTTTTTACACGATGTCTCATTTGGTTTCCCTATATTCCTGCTATAAGCGAAACCCTCCAATATTTTTCTTTTTCTTTCTGGCTTATTTCACTGAGTATAATTCCTTCTAGCTCCATCCATGTTTCTGTGAATGGCATCAGTTTATCTTTTTTGATTGCTGAATAATATTCCATTGTGTATATATACCACATCTTCTTGATCCAGTCATCTATTTTTTGGCATTTGGGTTGTTTCCAGGTTTTACCTATTGTAAATAGTGCTACAATAAACATTGGTGTACAGGTGTTCTTTTTTTTTTTTATAATAAGTTTTATTTATTTATTTATTTTAGATAATTCAATATATAGTAGCATTTTTTCTTTCTTTTTTTTTTTTTTTTTAAGATTTATTTTTATTTATTTATACAAGCACTGGGTACAGTCAGAAGCGCGGGAGGGTGAGAGAATTCACCAGAGCCAGAGCGGGGAGCAGAGCAGGCAGAAGGACCGAAGTACACTGCTGAGGGGAGCAGCGGGCGGCAGGAGAGGTCTGCGCACCATGTGGGACCCTCCTCCGGTGGCCGGGGAGCAGCCAGGGATCGAACTGGCTCTGCAGAGGCTGTGGGCAGCTTCGCAACCCAGCACTCAACCGCTGCGCCACCGGGGAGGCCCAATAAATTTTATTTTTATATCCCCCATACATTTGCAACCCCCCCATTCTGACCCAATCCCTCCCCTCCCGCCCCCCACTCCCCAAAAAGTGTCTCTAGTTCATAGTTTTTTGTTGATTTTGATTTTCACTTTCTTATAGTTATTCATTTCCCTGGTCCCTTATT